CGGAGAATGGAATGCATGTCAGAAATCGTCCAGGATAACGCATTCGAAATTAGCTGCTGCCACGCCCCAGAAAATGCATTTAAATATTGTTTACCCGTGCTAGCCTCGTTTTACCCGTATCACAGGAACCGGACGCATCAAATGACTTTGCGTTCAAGCGAATACATGCTAAGCATTAGCCGGTAAAACAATGTATCCTCCCAGAAATGAAGTTCTGCCCATTTTCTGACGAAATTTTCAACAATTTACAGACCCCGGCAGAAGTTCACGAGAAATCTGAAGGGATTTTGAATTTTGCCTCCCAAACTTATCCTGCTAGGGGATTTTGTTGTCTATTGTTTTACAAGAGGCGGTTCTATCAATTTTTTGCGTTATGTCGACGCAATATCATTGTTTTTTTGAATTAGCGATCACTTGTCAGTTTTAAGACCACAAAGTTTTGTTTGCTGCTAAAACCCCAGGCTTGCGCGTCTGTTCGTTTAGTTCCGCCTGTGTAACTGTCCAATCGGCGTCGACGCACGCAAATGCTTTAATGCCACTTAGATTGCAGGGCAAAAAACGTGCACTGGGCGTGGAGTAGAGGGTGCGAACGGCCTGAGCAGGCGTCATTTATCGGAAAACACAACAGCATCACACAGTGACATGAACATCATGTGAATGACTTCAACTAATCAATTATTGACTCTTCCGATGTTATGTGTTCACACCAAGTCCTAATAGCTCGCCTTTGTAACCCTTGAATACTTGTCATTTGGCTGCGACGAAGAAAGCAAAGGCCGACAGCCGACACCGTTGAGAAGAGCAATGCAACCGCCCTAAGACTTGGAAGCTTCTCTTCCGACTAAATGACTCCCATCGCCGAAAACGCGTCGTTGACTTGGCAGTGTGAATCCAGTGGTTTGATGTCTTCTGTTTTGAATTCATTTCTTCTCTGTTTATCTATTGCCGCCTTCGTAGTAAATATGCTAGTTCTCTTCGGCCTGACACACATGTCCTATTTGCCTGAATCCCGACGTTTTCAGGGTATTCGGCGTTCCATGAATCGCGGCCATCCCCACTTTCGTTTTAAAAGGCGAGGCTTGTCCGAAAGTGTCCGGACACGCAGCCCAACGTTTGAGGTGGATACCAACCATTGCAACGTCGGAGGGCTTGAGCCAACTCCCGAGAAACTTTCGTCATTTTCAGCCAGCCTTTGTCGTTCACCAA